TCTGGCGCCAGAAATCAAACCAGGACCTGGTGCATGCAAGTTAAATGCTTTACCCACTGTAATATCCCTCAAGCACAAAGCAGTGAGTTAAATGTGCCTCAATATTTGAGAATCAATGCCCCAGAAGATGAATCTCTTCACTAAATAAAAATCCTTGAGAATCTGTCTTATGTCCTTGTCTCCATTTTATGTCCCTGCCATCTTCTGTCACTTTTTAAATTTTTTTTAATTTTTTGCTTTTTGAGTCACACCCAGCAATGCTCAGGGGTTAATCTTGGCTCTTCACTCAGGAATTAGTCCTGGAAGTGTTTGAGGGACCATATGGGATGCCGGGGATCGAACCTGGGTTGGCCACATGCAAGGCAAACATCCGACCCACTGTACTATCGCTCTAGCCCCCTTCATCAATATGAACATATTCAGATTTCTTCATCTTTCTCCAAGGTCCATTTTGTTCCAAAGACTTCTGGAAACAGTTTTCACCATTCAGCAAAAAATGTTATTAAGTCAGTGAAGCAAAAAAAAAAATAGCTGTAGTAGAATCTTAGTAGAATATCTTCGTTGTCTATGTACCAACATCTCATTATGATGAAAGAGAAATCGAGAAGTTCTACATGGAGCTAGAGAAGTTCTATAAAGAAGATCACACCTTCTACAAGATCATTGTGGGTGATTTTAATGCCAAGATAGGACCGAGAAGATCAGCTGAAGAACTTCACATCGGGACCCATGGCCTAGAATGGAACGAACAGGGTGAGAGTCTGCCTGAGTTCATCATGTTGACCAAGACCATTCATGGTAACTCACAGTTCCAGAAGGCAGAACCTAAACGATGGACATGGGAGTCTCCCGGTAGACGATTCCACAACGAAATAGACCACATCATATTCAATCGACAGTTTTGCCTGACTGATGTCGCTGTTGTCCCAAAATTTCGAACGGGATTGGACCACCGTCTCCTTCGTGCAAAATTCTACTTCACAGAGAGGGGAGAAAGGGCTGCAAAGTTCAAAAAGAGAACTCCCAGAATGACCACCAACTGGGAACTCTTTGGTACTATTGCGGCAACATGGGAAGATGCCATTGTTGACAACATTGATGAGGAATACGATCGACTGGTTCAGCACCTCCATGAATGTGCGAGGAATGCCAAGAGAGAGATAGCCACAAAAAATCGCCTATCTTCGAAAACTCTTGAGCTAATTCGCCAACGTGGTTTGGCGCATGCCTCAGGCAACCACAAGCTAACGTCCGAGCTCGCAAAGCAGTGCAGAGATGCGATCAACGAAGACCTCAAAGAGAGAAGAGCAGAAGTACTGGTAGATGCGGCAGAAGCCAGGAAAAGTATTCGTAACATCCGCCTGTCCTTTGCCAACTACAAGACCAAGATGACTGCCCTCCGACGTCCTGATGGATCCATCACATCCTCCAGAATGGCAATGGAGAAGATTATCCATGACTTCCACTCAAATCTCTTCGATAGCCATGTCCACTTGCCGACATACCAAATTCCACAGGATGGATATGTCGTTCCCAACGTTCCCCCTTCCGAAATCCGACACGCCATTTCGTCGGTAAAGAAACAAACAGCACCCGGCCCAGACAAGATCAGACCTGAACACCTGAAGAATCTGCCGTCAGTACTCATCAATACACTGGCTCGGCTCCTCACTCACTACCTCTCTGAATGCAAGGTTCCGTCCCAATAGAAAACCAGCAGGACCGTACTACTGTTCAAGACGGGAGACATCCATGACATTGGCAACTATCGCGCGATCTGCCTATTGTCTATCATCTACAAGTTGTTCACTCGAGTCATCCTAAATCGGATTGGCAGAACACTAGATGAAGGACAACCATGAGAGCAATCCGGGTTCTGCAAAGGATTCAGCACCATCGACCATATCCACACAATAACCAAGCTCATTGAGGTTTCTCGGGAGTTCAAGATGCCGCTCTGTTTAACGTTCATTGATTTAAAGAACAATTGATTCTGTTGAGATGGAAGCGGTCATTGAAGCCCTAGCCAATCAGGGCATTCAAGCGCAATACATCAGGATCCTCCGTGAGCTGTATTGCAGATTCACTACCAGGATCTCACCATTCTACAAAGAAGTGATTGTTGATGTCAAGAGAGGGGTGCGGCAGGGTGATACCATTTCACCAAAACTCTTCAGTGCCACCCTCGAGAACATCATGCGACGACTGGAATAGGAAGGAATGGGAGTGAAGATAGATGGTCGGCAACTACACCACCTCCGCTTTGCTGATGACATTGTTTTAATAACACCAAACATCCACCAAGCAGCACAAGTGCTGGCCGACTTTGACCGTGAGTGTGGAAAGGCAGGACTTCAGCAGAATCTTACGAAGACAATGTTTATGAGAAACAGCCTCGTTCCTGACACCCCATTCGCTCTCAACGGAACGACCATCTCCGAATGCAACAGCTATGTGTACCTAGGTCGAGAGGTCAACATGACAAATGACCTGGCACCCTAGCTTCGCAGGAGAAAGAGAGCGGCTTGGAAAACCTTCAAGAACATCGAAGAAATAGCTAAGAGGACGAAGAACCTCCGGCTCCGGGCACATCTCTTTGATTCCACTGTTCTTCCTGCATTAACATATGCCTCAGAGACCTGGGCCCTACGCAAACAAGATGAGAATGCTATTCAGGTCTCCCAAAGAAGAATAGAAAGAGCTATGCTTGGAATATCACGTTTCACTCAAATGAGAGAAAGAATCCGGAGTTCTGATATCCGTCTATCCCTCGAAGATCAAGAATCAGGGACGCTGTCTCATTTGCCAAGGTGTCGAAAATCAGATGGGCTGGTCACGTAATGAGATTTAAAGATGACCGCTGGACTAGAGCTGTTACCGACTGGATTCCACGGGATGTCAAAAGACCGCGTGGCTGCCCACCTACCAGATGGTCAGACTTCTTCGTCAAGATCATGAACGATCGGTTTGAGGCCCTTCATGTTCCCGGAGCGAAGAGATGCCATTGGGCTACACTAGCACGCGACAGGGACAAATGGAGACGTTACTGGTGCCCGCTTGAACAAATCGACGACTAACGGGAAGTTAAGTGATTAAGTGACGGTCATTTAGGAAGACTAAAGTGAAATGTCTTTGCGTATCAACTAGTGCCTGGAGTGTGACAGAGAAGTAAGAACTCACCTGGGAGAGGCTAGGCAAGATTACGCATGAATGTTTGTGCCAGGGTGCAATTAAGCAGGCACCAAGAAAATAGTGCCCTGCACCTTTTTACCCATTACATTTAGGCAAAGCTCTATTACACAGTGCATTTGATGCTTTTCTTACATTTCTTTCACTAGATCCTAAGTTTTCTGATGACCAGGATTTCTTTTTACCTTCCCACCACCTGTAATGGGGCTGTTTCCTATCACAATCAATCAGAGACCACAATCTATCAGAGATTGACTCAGCAATTTAATCAAAGAATTTATTGAGACAAAAAAGGTTCAGGGATGAGGGTTGCTCAGCTGGGACTGCTCCCTGGGCTAGGAACCTCAAGGACTACAGATAGAGATTTTTAAGCCTAACACCCTCCTGCCTATGAGTCTGGGTGCACCCTGCCAGTTACGTTCCTACGGCCCTGAGCAAGCAAGCCAAGATACAGAGGTCAAACCTAGAGGTTATGCTGCTTTGGAACTGTCAATTGCCTAGATCTCCTGCAACAGTTCCTGCAACAAAAGGCAACAAATGGCCCCAGACCAGTGCCCAGGCCTTAATCTTTACTTGACTCCCTAACATGGCTGGTTTCAGGTTGGGAGGGGAGTTAGAGCCCCCTTTTGAAGCAGGCAAGGTAGGGGAGGCCCTCTCCCAAGGCAATGGCTAAAGCCAACCCTGCAGAAAACTGGAAAAGCAAGAACTAAGGCCTGATAAGACCTTGAGCAGCAACAGACCCTGAGGAGATTGGACCTCTCCCCATCAAGAAAATTCCTCGAATACCCTGACTTTAGTGATTCAGCCCAAAGAAGACCATCACCACTCCCAACCTCCCTGGTAACCTCCTTAGCTACAGACTTTTCATCTAGGAGTGGGTTCAGAATGGTGAAACCCTAAAAAAAGCCATGTGAACAAAGGAAGGGCGCCCATGTGCTGCCCAAGGAGTCCATGTGCCATGCTTTCTTATCTAATGCTGGGATGTGTGTAAGGGCTCTCCATGTCCTTGGAGAAGCCTGCTTCTCTCTCTCTCTCTCTCTCTCTCTCTCTCTCTCTCTCTCTCTCTCTCTCTCTCTCTCTCTCTCACACACACACACACACACACACACACACACACACACCTTCAAAAACCCTCCAAATAAAATCTATTTTATTTCACTGCTTATCTACTCCTGAAATTCCTTTCTGTGAGGGAGACAAGAACCCAATAACCCTGGGACCTGGGACCTGGGTGGCAGAGGCAGATGGGGCTTACGCTTGTGGATCCACTGACATCACTTTGACCTCATTCAGAGGTTAGAGTACATCTAGCCCTTCCATCTCATTCCGGAGCATGAAAGGGGCTAGGACAGAGAAAACAGGAATTTGAGTCACAGACGAATAGGAGTTTGAACAGTCGCTCGTGCCCATTTCAAAGACTATCTTAGTGTTCTGCGTTCTCAACAATTCATGCTTCACTGAACAACGTCCAGCCAGTACTTGGGAGGGAAGATGCGGGAATTTGGCCAAGGCTAGAGAAGTAAGGTAGCAATGCGGAAGGTAAACATCCAGAAGGCGTTTTCTTGGAGTTGGAACCTGCACCCGCCTGCTAGCCTTTAACCTGATCGACAACATCTTCAAGGCTGTGACGTCGGGAACACAGGCTCACGCAAAGGATTCCCGGCTAACAAAGCCGGCGGACGCAACTTCCTCGAAGAAGAAAGGACCTCGGGCACCCGCGGGCAGCCGCCGGAAGAGGAGGGGCGAGCGCGTGCCCGGGAGGCGGCCCCGCCCCCGTCCCGCAGTTGCCTAGCAACCGGTCCCGGAAGTCGCAGGGGGCGGTGCGGGGCGGGGGAGAGCGGGTGGAAGATGGCGGAGGGTGGCGGCGGCGGCGGCGGAGCGGAGCCGTGCGATCGCGAGAAGGGGTCGGCCGGCCGGCGGCCCCCCAGCGTGCGGGATCTGCAGGTGCGGCGAGCAGCCGAGGCGGGGGGCGCCGTGCGCAGGGCGCTGGCGAGGTCGCCCCGGCCACCCCTGAGCAAGTGCGTCCCCCGACCGTGGCGTGGGCCGGAATGGTGAGCCCGGAGCGACGCGTTGTGCCCCCCGGCGTGGGGGAAACCAGCGCCCGCGTGCCGCCTGCACCCGCCTCCGTGCCGACCGGGGAGCCTTGCACTGGGGGGTCGGGGCTGGGCGGGGGGGTCCCGGTTGATGCATCCTTTAGTGGACTGGATGCAGAAGAACGCCTTACTCTGGCGATGGAGAATTCCAAGATCCCTTAAAAAAAAAAAAATTACGTGTCCAGCGGCTAAGGCGGTTGCCTGGCTTGCAGGCGATCCGGGTTCGGTCCCCGGCAACCGCGTATTGGTCCCCCAGCAATGTCAGGCGTGTGATCTCTGAGCTCATCAGAGCCAGCTGTAAGACCTGAGCGCTGCCAGGTGTAGTCACAAACCCAAAATCATAATAATAATTGCAATAAAACAATAAGGTATCTCGTTAATGTTTGTCTTGGAGGCTGGTTTCTGGCTGGATGGTTCCTTTTTCATCAGGTCGTTTTTCTGTGTTTTTTTGTTTGTTTGTTTGTTTGTTTGTTTTAATTTCTCTGTTAGGGGCCCACAACCTGGCTCTACACTCAGGGATCCACCTCCTGGGAAGCTAGGGGAACCTTAGAGGGTTCGGGGGACAGAACCCGGGTTAGCTGTAGGCAAGGCAGTCGCCCTACCTGCTATACTGGCACCCCCAACCCCATTTTTCTGTTTAAAAGGATGAACTCCAAGTACTCATCCTCTGGCCGTACAACCTAGCTGCATAAGCCACAGCCGCATGAAGCATAAGAAGTAGGGAAAAGATTTTGCAAATTAAATTTTACATAGTCATAGGACACTGACGTGTGTTAGCTACATACAACTGTACCAGGTCCTGCCCTATTCGATACTTAAAACTGCTTTTTCTTGTTTTAGATTTTTCTTCTTTTCCTCCCACTAGGATCACTGATAATTTTCCATAACTAAACATCAGAAAGGGGCTATAATTAAAAATACATGACATGAAATCCACAAGCCTCCGTGGAAAAGTTCTGTTTATATTTGCACCTTCATTCCACTTTGTACCAACAACAAAAGAAAAGTGGTCAGTCCCCAGTCATCTAATGCTCTACTATACAGAAAGGTAATAGTACAGTAACAGTCCACTGTTAATGTACAATGTTGAGAGTCACAAATTCCTTTAAAAAAAAAAAAGGGCTGGAGCGATAGCACAGCGGGTAGGGCGTTTGCCTTGTACACAGCCAACCCGGGTTCGATTCCCACCATCCCATCATCCCATATGGTCTGCTGAAGCCAGGGGCAGTTCCTGAGTGCAGAGCCAGGAGTAACCCCTGTGTATTGGCAGGTGTGACTATATGTATATATATATATGTTTTTCACAGAAATAGAATAAATATGAATCTACATAACCTGACATTTTTAGGTGAAATATGAGTAAGTGCCAAAAGAAGCAGTTCATAAAAGGAGGACTTTGGGGAATGGAGAAATCTGGGTGAGCTTAAAAGACAAATTTCAGCTAGAATACAGTGGTATTAATAAATTCGGTAGTGACAAATAGAATCAAGAGATAGGAAGCTCTTGTTCTGCCATACCTTTTCTATGGTAAACTATCATCACTCAGAGACTATATGAAATATTGAGGGGAAATGATGTTTCTGATCAAATTCACATCAATTTGCATCATGGTCCCAGCAACATGATAGTTGTAAACACTGGGAAACATCTTAATCTCTCTGAACTTCAGTGTCTCTAACTGTGAACTAGGAGTGATTGTGATGGTGTTAGAGATTTAACAGTGCACATCAAGTGTCTTTGCAAATTCCCAGTACTTGCTAGGCAAGTAGTTGTTGCCTTTACTGTTAAAGGGGAAAATACTGTATCTTTCACTGTTTAGTTTTTTTGTTGCCATTCAAGTTAAAACTGTCATTTAATATTCTTTCTCTAATTCAAATTTGTTTCTTGATTTTATGTGAAAGTAGTAGTACTTTAGTTAATGTTTGTCTGATGCTTGACAGATTTATAGACTTTAATCCAATGGGCTAATAATATATGTGAATGGAAGTACTTTAGTGGATATCCCTAATTTAGGGCTGACTTTATTTCCACCATCAACTGGCAGATAGGGTTTTGTATTGTTTTTCAACTTTTAACATACTTTCTGCTAGGTAGGTTGGTAGATAACCAATTTTTGTTAAATGTATGGGCTGTGGTTATAAAGTACATTTAAATATTAATCTTTTCTGAGTATTAATCTTTCTTTAGAGTTTAATATGAATGTAAAGAAGTTACAAAGAAATCTGAAAACAATCAAAATGATGTTGCATGAAGAAATAGAGAGTACATATCAAATGATTTTAAAGCAGTTGAATAAAATTCTTATTCCCACCTGGTTACTTGATCACTGTATCACTGTCATCCTGTTGTTCATCGATTGCCTCGAGCAGTTACTTGATACTGATTTATTTTTTCTTGGATTATGTTATTATTGTTTTATCTAGCCTTGCTTATCTTAAGATAAATTCAATTTTCAGTAAAGTCTTCTGACTTTCCTAGAAGCTTATTCTGAGTTTTTACGGCATTAGAGCAGGAAAGGGTGATGTATAACTGACTAGAACTAGCGAAAGTCCCCATAAGTATTTTTATCTTAACTGCCACTTAGTGTAGCATCTGTCATTGTAAATCTGGAAGAGTTTCCTCAGGTATCACTGGAGGGAAGGGTGAGTAATTGTAGCTGAAGAGTCTCTCAGAACAGACTTGAAAAATCTGTGGCTGTCAAAGCCCTAGTAAATCTTAGCTCCCTCTCCTCTCAACCTGCAGTGAGATATGTTCAGGTGGCACATTTAGGGGCAGGACTGTTAGTGACCGTTCTAACCTAAAATATCAGGGCCCATTCGTACTTCTCAACAATTTTCAGAAACTTTTTATCTTCTGGTGCTCCCGAGTTCATATATATCCTGGGTTGTTTGCTTCTGTCCCAGTTTCTTTAAGAATAGTATCAAAAGAAAAATAGCTCTGTTCTAAAAACCTGTATTTCTACTGGTTGACTAGGGAGGAATGAGGAATAAGACTGCCGGATGATACTGATATTGTTATTTGGGTTTTAAAAAATCTTCATTTTGCCTTCTGACTGGAGACACAAAGAATTCCAGTGAGAATCTTTTGCTACATACTCTATTTCCCCACTCTCAATTACTTTATCATCGGGTTTCTCTTCACCTTCAAATTTAGGAGAAATGATTATGCCTTCTTTATTATACACACGTTATATAATTGAAGTATCTATATATTCTAGTAGCCCAACTTGTGTAATACTCTCATTATAATTTACATTGCTTAATACTGAAAAAAGGATTTTTTTGTCTCTATTTGAGACTTTGTTGGTCTTTTGGGTTTGACCAGTGCAGAGGTATACTTTTTATTTTATCAGTTTAATCAGTTTAATCTTCTGGTGTTTGTGTTATTGCTATGCCAAATAATATAAGTTAAATTTCTCTATTATAATATTTATTAAGAATGTATTATATATCAATACTAATTAGGACTTTTTAGGCATGTGAACTCCCTATTTTAACTATAATTTTCTCCACATTCCTATGTTGCTAATATATATCCCAGTTTCCATAGAGTCAAAGGTATTGTTTGCTTTATTTCGCAGAAGAAAGCTTATATGATTGACAATGTTTAATCAAATTTCTTAAAGCAAAAAGCTAGATACAATGACTCTAGCAAATACAATCTTAGCTAATTCAACATGGCTTTGTTAGATACCAATAACATACTGTATTTGAAATAATTGGAGATATTTAAAATATAAAATATAGGGGGAATTAGAAACATATACAAGTAATGACAGTATATAATGTAAATGTCAGTAATGGAGCTGAGTGTGTTATGAGTATTTAGAAAATAACCAGTTAGGTGCCAGAGAGCTAACACAGACATCAGGCTCACCCCGGTTAAATTCCCCATACTCCATCGCACCCAGAGCATGTCCTCTCTGAAGCATGGCAGAGTGGAACCCTGGTAGTCACAGCACCTCAGCTCAGGGCTGAAGGAGCATCTGCATCCTCAAGGCTCTCAACTGTTCATCTGTTGATCAGGTTCAGTGTTGCTCGGCCTCCTGGGTACATCCCACCCCCTCCACACCCCTATATAAAGAAGTACCCTTTAGTTACTGACACTAAAAGAGCTTTGTAAAAGATGGCCAGATGGTTGGTGGGCCTTTAAAATCCAGGTAACATTTCTATTAATGGGACTAGGAAGAGCGGTGCATAGGACTGAAATAATATAACAGAAAGAAGAGCTAAAGTTTCTGTAAACTGTAGGGCCAGGATCTCATTATCTGGCTGTGGCTCTTTTTCTGCTCTTTTAAATAAAAGAGAAGGTTTCTTGGATGGTTTAGGGGGATTTATAGAGTAAAAAAAGACCATACAGAAGAAAAGTCCTCTTAGGGAAAAATAAACATTGATAGTTATAAACTGGTTCTTTAGGGTTTTTGAGGGTTTTTTTTTTTTTGGTGGTGGTGGTGGTGGTGTTTGGGATACCCCTAAAGAATATTGATTCAGTTCTTTTAGAGTGCAAAGTACTATTCATATAATTCATATAAATATTTATAAAGTATACATAATAGAAATTTTAGGAAGATCACCATGTTCAAAATATCAAGTTGGTATATTGAGTGAGCAGCAGTGAAAAAATACAGAAAGGGGAAGTGGTCTTTTTGATTTGTTTTTTATGTATGCATATTCCTATTCCTCTTTCCCTGTTAAGGATTAAAAGCCCTGCAGGTAGTTTTAATATTTGTTTCTACAAATAGCTTTTTACCAATTGCTTATTTATGCACAGTTTTCCCTGTGGCCAGAGAAAATACCCAGGCACTGCATATGGTCCCCTAAGAATCACCAGGAGTCACTGAGTACAGAACCAAAGAGGAGCCTTGAGCACAGCGGGGTGTGGCTCAAAAAAACAAGAACAAAAAAAAAGTTCTCAAGCTTTATGGTCCTGCTAGTTAGAATTTAAAAGCCACAATGGCATTAGGGGGAAATTTTTTAATTGCTCAAAGATGCTAAAAATAGCAACAGAGTTTCCTAAGCCACACTAAGATATTTGAGTAGCATTTTTAAAATTTTAGTTTCAGAAGCTATGCTTTAGTATTTCATTTTTAAAATATCCAGCTACATATCTATAATGCTTTCTAATTGTTACATAAACCATAAATATATATATAAATACATATATATAATAAATTCATTATTTTATTTTTCAGAAACTAAATTTTCCTGAATATGTATATTTTATGTGTGTGATATTTAAATAGAATAAATTTTGAAATTGTTTTTATGGGCTTGGATTTGAAATCTTAAGTGGCTAATGAAATAATTTCATAGTATCTGATGAGAGTGAGCTAGCATTAGTATGAAACATCTTAAAGAGCTTTTAAGGCATTGGAGAGAGAATCCCAGGCTTAAAACATATGCATCTAATCCTGATTCGGTCCCCAGCACTCCATGGTCCCTGAACACCATGGAGTGTGCAAGACCAGCAACCCAGGTGTGCTCTATGCAAGACCAGCAACCAGTGTTCACACCTGCACACAGCCAAGGAGACTCACTGGGTGGACCTGGTAATCCAAAGCATACAGGGTTCACGTAACATAGCATCCTCGGGCCCGACATGGAACCACTGGCTCAGGTGTCCAGGAATCACCAGGAAGGGCCCCTGAGCATCACTTGGGAAGCCCCCAAAAAACTCATTACAAGTTCAACTGCAGGATTTTGTGGGGGTGTTTCCCTCTGGTTCTGAGTACTCGGGCTGGTTCTGACTTGGTTGGTGCTCAGGGGTCAGACCCAAGCTTCTGGCATGTGCACTCAGCTCTTGAGCTATTTCTCAGCCCAGTTCTGATAATGCTGTTACCAAATAAAGTTTTTAAAACTGGTGAATAGTTAAAAATTATTAAACAATTGTTTTTAGCTTTAATCTGTATTAGTGTATATGGCATTTTGTTTAGTTATATGAGAGGGCCAGTGAGTTTTGTTTTGTTTTGGGGGGCTGGGGGGGCAAGTTGCATCTTGTGTTGAAGCAGCTTTAATTTTCCTTAGCTGTCTGCTTACAAGGTGACCTTCTACTCATAGCGTCTAGTTGTGTAAGAGTTTATTTCTTGGGCTACACTTTATAACACATCCTTTATTATGTAGTTGGCCTTGGCAGAATTATATGAAGATGATATGAAATGTAAATCTTCCAAGTCCGAGCGACCTCAAGCATCCGTCTTTAAAAGCCCAAAAACACCTCACAGGTAAGCCTTGTTTGGTTTTGTCTCACTGTGCTTTTTGAAAGTGTATCCCTTTGGGGCTGGAGCGATAGCACAGTGGGTAGGGCATTTGCCTTGCACACAGCTGAGCCAGGTTTGATTCCAAGCATCCTATATGGTCCCCTGAGCACTGCCAGGGATAATTCTTGAGTGCATAGCCAGGAGTAACCGCTGTGTATCACCGGTTCTGACCCAAAAAGGAAAAAAAGTGTATCCCTTTTATAATCCACTAATTCCAAATTATTTTAAATGGCCTTTGGAATTTGGGACCAAGGGGGTGGACTCACTCCAAGACAGTGCTCATCTCCTTGGTCCCTCACCGCACAGGTAGCTCACAGCCAAACAGGCTGACAGTTCAGTGCTGGGCTGAGGAGTCAGGCAGCTTGAGCTCTCCAGTCCCCGGCTACCCAGGCCTCTCTGGGACTGCTGGGTGCCTCCAGGTGATGCACCTGGCCTTGCTTTGGCCTCATGTGCTGGGAATTTAACCCAACTCAGATTTATTTGACATTTGTGTATTTTAAAGTCCTTCTAGAGAGCCCATATATGTCTTGTCCTCTACTCCATAACTTCCAAGAACCTGTCCAGAACCTTTGGTTGAATGATCACCCATCAACTAAGAGATATCCTAACGAGGACTTTCAGTATTTGCTCTTGTTAAGATCCCTACACTGTTGAGCAGTGACAAACTTGGCTTCAGATTATAAAACTGATTAACAGACAGTGGAGGGAATGAAAGTCAGACTGGGGTGACAGAAGAATAGAGCTGGAGGCGTAGTACCTTTGCAAATCAGTACCATAAACAGTTAACACTGTTGTTACCATACCACCTGGATCATAATTGTAAAAAACTAATAATAAAATAAAATCTCTGAATATTAAAAAAGATTAATGATCTTTTCCCCCCCGTTTTTGCTAAGTATGATATTTTCCTGACACTGAATTTATAGTGTCAAATTTTATATTCAGTGTTGAACACAGCACTGAATTCACGCTCCCCCACAACTTATGATCTTGGCTCATCGTCTCGGGCACTGCCCTGTGTGCTCTGTCAGGTGTGGGGTGCCAGCAGCAACTCCTTCCGTTTTTGTCTCATATCTACTCTTTGGAACAGAGAACAGTGCCTCTTTTCATGACAGCTTTTGGGGGAAGTACTAGATACCACAATGTTTATTTTATCACTGACCATTTAAGCCAGTACTGGTTTACTATCTGAAATTCTAGGCATGTGGTCTTTTTTTGTTTGTTTGGTTGCTTGGGGAGGTACACTAGCTATGCGCAGTGCTTACTCCTAGCTGTACATTCAGGGGTCATTCTCAGCAGTTCTTGGGGGCATCAGAGGTGATTCTGGGCATCAAACCCAGGTGTGCTGTGTGCAAGACAAGCAACTTGCCTGCTGTGCCATCTCTCCAAACCCGTGGTTTATACCTTTAATTACAAACATAGGTACAGAATCTATGGAAAAACTGTCCAAAAGTAGCCTGATGTCTTGGGGCTATAGCCCTTTAGGGTTCAGAGGGTCCATTGGTTTCACTCTTTCTTTGCTACTTATGGGGCACCTGGTCCTTTCTAGGCATCTGAGTCTGGGAGTTGAAGCATGAAAGGAGACCAGGCATGGGGAAGGAATCTGACATTCCTTCTTCTTTTCTGTCTGTGTGTGTATGTAGTGGGAGCCGGGAGGAAGTATCTTCATTTAACTTTTTTTCTCATTGTCGTGAGATTCTTTGTGTTAGGGGAGCAGGGTGCCACATCTGGCAGTGCTAGAGGCAGCTACCCCAGCTTGGTACTGTGGGGTCTCTCCCAGCAATGTTCCAGGAGATCCTGTCTGGAAGCCTTTGCCAAGTATGCACTGCAACCTTTTGCGCCATCTCCCCTGCCCTCGCTTGAAATTACTAGATTTTGAACAAAAGGACTCCTTTTCATTCGGTACTGGGCCCCATAACTTTTGTAGCCAGACTTAGATACGACTTTCTTGATAAGTCCAGGGTATTATCATTATATACTAGGGAAATAGTAATAGCAGTGCAATCTAAAATTAATAGTGCAGAGAACAGAATAAGGAGACAAAGAGGAAAACAGTAATCTAAGGAATGTGTCAACTTTTGGATTAGAGTGTTGTGAGTGAAATGGAGGAGGAAAGTGGGTGAAAACAATTTGGGATATTTTCAAAGAATTTGCTGTAGAAACTTGGTAACAAGGAATGTAGAGACTAAGAATGACAAAGTGATGGCCTCAAGATCCTTAATCTGGAATACTGGAAAATTTATTTGTTGCTGAGATTTTTGTGGGAAGCAGGTTTAGTTTTACAGAAGTTTAATGAGGTATTTTTGAATTCAGTTCTGAACTGTAATGGAGTGCTGAAAAATGTATTTGGGATTTGATACCTTTTTATTAAATCTGAGGCTTGGACCCATAGTACAGCAATTAGGACGCTTGCCGACCTGGGTTTGATCTCAGACATCCTATATAGTCCCCCCAGCACCACCAGGAGTAAGTCCTGAGTGTAGAGCCAGGAGTAACCCCTGAGCCTCGCTGGATGTGGCTTAAAAACCAAAAACAAAAGAAAGTATTTGAGAGGCTGTTTTCAATATATTGAACAAATGTTCTGATGATCGGATATATTCAGATAGAGAAGACTCAAGGATATAGGTCTTCTTAATGAAAAAGGAAAAAATGAATGGCTTATGAATCTAAGTTTAAAAGGCTAAAACAAAAGAAAGAAATATTTACATGACCTTTGGTGGGTAAAAATTTATCTTAGGGACTGGAGCAATAGTACAGGAGGTAGGGCGTTTGCCTTGCATGCAATTGACCAGGGTTTGATTCCCAGCATCCCATATGGTCCCTCGAGCACCGCCAGGAGTAATTGCATGAGCCAGGAGTAACCCCTGTGCATTGTTGGTTGTGACCCAAAAGGAAAAAAAATTATCTTAAATGGAAATTAAATGTTAACCATAAATGAGCTAATCAGTACTTTGCTGTGTCAGAGATTTAAGACAGGAAGTGAAAGAACTGCAGAAGGGGCTGTAGTAGGAAACATTACCACTTGTTCTCCAGGTGCATTTTTTCTTAAAATGAATTAAGATTTCATGAGTCTTTCTTGCTTTCCTCTCCCGTTAACATGTACTATGGGGAAAATCTTGAAAGTGACCTCAGTTTCTTGTATCCAGTGCTAGTAAATTTTCCCCCATGGTTTTGTCTTATCCACAACAAATTAAATGTGAATTTGCAACTGGGTTGTAGGATGTAAATAGTTTATAATCATAAAAAAAATTTCAGTGCGCAGGATCAAACCTAGGGGCACATATAAAAAAGAAAAGTACTCTATTAGCTTTACCCCAAACATATTTCACTCCTTAGTGCAAGTTGCTGAGCTTAGAACCTGAATCTCTGCAAGAAAACCTGTGTGAGCTAAAATATAGTTACGTTACTCTTTGTTCCTTAATTCCATTTTGAAAATTAAGTATTTTCACAAGTAATGCAGGTTAGTCTTTAAATACATTATTTCTAAAGATTATGTAGCTTTTTGTTTTAAAATAGTTTATATATTTTAAGTTTCTGTTCATGTCGTTTAATATTTAAAGGTTCTATTCAAGTGAACACGAATACAGTGGATCACATAAAGTTCGACCCTCAACTGGGAATATTGTAAATGAACTTTTCAAAGAGGCAAAAGAACATGGTGCTGTTCCTCTGAGTGAAGCCACAAAAGGTGATGACAGTTCTAAGGTAACTGCTAAATTTTAAAGCTAAATCTGCTATTTATGTATCTGTTTTCTATAATTTTTATTATGTGTACAAACATTATCTAACTGTATATATATATTTATGTTCTGAATATTTATCTCATTTTAATAAGATTAAGATCTATTAAATGCTTAGAAATTGAGGCTGTATGCAACCTCTATATTTATTTTGAAATAATGGCAGAATTATGGATTCCATAGGAATTTTTAATTAAAAAGCAGACAGAACCTTTGTACCTTTTCTTCAGTTTCTCTCATTATCCTAATGGATATTGATACAAATTAGCCTTTTTCGCGTGGCCTTGTGGTTTCTTTTATTGAGGGTCCTTTGGGGGCTATACCCAGCAGTTCTCAGGATTGGGGGTGGAGTGCAAGTAGTAACCATGTGGTGCCAAGAACCAAACATGCACTCAGTCTAGTGAGCTGACTTTCTGGGCCGGGCCTTGCATTGTAAAATGCATCTCTGTGACTTCTGTTCATTTTCTAATGGAATTATTTTTAAATGTTTGATAGTTCTCTTTGACAGGCATTTGGTTTGCAGATTGTTCTCTCCTAGAATATTTCCCTTCTCTTTTTTTATGAATTACATGTAGTGTCTTATCTAAAAGCATTTCACCTAACCATGAGTTTCAGTATTTTTTTTTCTACTTTTATTGTGTTAGGTTTATATTGAGGCTCTCTGTTCTACTTAAGAATGTCTCATTGCTTACAATCATTTATTTGTTAAAAAGGCTCTCTTTTCTCCATTGAATTACTTTTGTATCGTTTGAATTTCTTTTAAAACTTTCATACAGCCCTTGTAACTATAAGCTAACATCCTGTTGGTATTTTGTTTTGTTTTTTTTTTAATGCTGTGTCTTCTAGTTCATAATTGTCCTGTAATTAAAATTAGCATTTTCAACCTTGCTTCCCTTAACAAAATCATTTGGGCATATCAAGATTACTCTGCTCCCTAAAAGAGGCAGCAGAAGGTAACGGGGCACTGACTGGGTAGGGCCCTCAGACACATCAGTGATTTATATATGCACATATGTCTGAACCACAGAACCAGTAGAACTGAAAGCACTGCATCTAAACTACAATAACCAAATGCCTGGGAAGGTAAGAGGGAAAACTGGAGACATTGGAAGTTGACTGGTGACAAGCTTGGTGCTGAAAATTTTGGTTTTTTGTTGTTGTTGTTGTTGTTGTTGTTGTTTATTTTGGGGGGTCATAGGGTCATATCTTGTGGTTCTCAGGGCTTACTCCTGGCTCTGTGCTCAAGGATCACTCCTGGCAGAACTCAAGGATCATCTGGGCTTGTAGGGATTAAACCCAAGTTGGCCACATACAAGGCAGGCACCCTACCTGCTGTACTGTCTCTCTAGCCCTATGGTGTTGTAAGATTGTATGCCTGAAACTCAACTATGAATAACTATAAATTACAGTGCCTTAATTAAAAACTTAAAAATAAAGAAAGGTAGCATCTCTGTAATGTAATGTGTTTGGAGGGGAGGGGGTGTATGTGTGTGTGGGTGTGTGTGTGTGTTGAAAATCATTTAGAGAAGTTTTCTAGTTTGCATACCCAGTGTAAAAAAAAAAATGTTGAAAACTGAGTTGGGAAGATATCACTGGGATTAAGGTGCTTACTTTACATTTGTTCCCTCACACAGCATATGGTCTTTGGAGCACCATCAAGAGCACACACTAAGCATAGCCAAAAACCCAGATCAGAGGAAATGTTGAAGTCATTAATCTGCCGAAGTGGTTATTAACTACCAATCTAGGGACCAGTACTCAGAAGGGTGCCTGTCTTCAAGTGTCAAAAGAGCTTGGAAACCTGGAAACAGCAGGATCTGGCGTGTTTTTTTCTGTGCCTCTCAGAATTATGGCAGACATCCATTTCTAAGATCCTCTGTATTAAATGGAATATAAATTTTAGTTTTCATTGTTACATACCCGCAACTTGGAATTGTCTTTCAGAAAAGTCAAAAATGATTCTGGTTCTTGTAGTTTTGTAAGGAAAATTTGAGAACCATATACTTTTTTTGATAGAAAAGAAAACAGTATCATAACTGAAAGCCCAATCATGGCATAAATGGTGGTTTTAAAATAGGATGTACTTTTACTTAATAAGCTGCCCTATCTTGTGATTAGTATATAGCATATTAAAATTGTAGTTGATGTGTTACAGTTGAATAAAAGTATCTAAAAATAGAGAGCTTCAGGATAGACCGATATCCTATTTAAAAATTCTGCCTTTATGAACCTCCTATTTTATGAAATGTAATTTAAGACATTAAATTGTTATTATGACATCATAAAATATTAGTGGTTTTTTAAGATGTATTTATACTTGATAATGAATTGGTTTGTTTGACATAAAAAAATCTCTTGCAAACCCTCCTAGCATGGTATTTTAATAAAAATTTTGGTTACTCATAATCATAGTTTTAAAATATCACATTATTATCTTGCTTGATAAACTCTAGTGAATTTGTAGCTCATTTATTATATATTTAGTCATTTTCAGGTGGAGGTTACAGATTGGGCAACTCCTTTTGTAAGAGGTCTGAATACATCTATGGCGAAAATCAGCTGCAAGATGTAGGTACAGTAATCAAACTGAAAAATTATAAATATGTGTATACTTATATACAATTTGATTTAAAGTTAAAATCTTGTTATCACTTTGTTATATTCTTAAAACTTGAATAAAAAAGACAATGTTTAAATTTTTTGCTTCAATTTTTATATTGTATACCCCAGCACCCCATACTTGGAGATCCATAGCTATTTTGAAATACCCCATACTTTGAAGATCAAGTTGTAAAGATGAGTTTATGTGTATTTTATAACAGTTACTATAAACTCTTTGACTTTCACTTTTATAGAATGAACTGAATTGTGAGCCTAGAAATATCTAACTTTGTTTCTGTTGCTTTTAGAAATTTTGGAATTACACTTTCATTTTAAGCATGTATGGTTTATCCTTGGTAGGAGAGTCACAAGAAATTCTGTCTTTCCCATTAGTGTGATATTTAAACTCTGTAGCAAAGAAGAATTTAGCTAGCAATGAAGAAGACAGGTACCTAAATGCTCTCTTGCCTTTGCTTTTCCATTTAGCCAGATAAATTATTTTCTGCCAAGGTCCAGCTCTGGAACTTTTGGTTTTTCTGCCATTTTCCATTTTTTAAATTAAATAATCTGCTAAGCAAATACACATGGTATGTATATCTTTAAATGTAAGCTTTAGAATAAAGAATAATTTAAACAGCTTCATATTTTAAATTAAATTAATTGATTCAATATGTTGTGAAATATAATATTTGAAACTTAATATTAATGCAAGTGCATTTTTTTATTTCTCTGTTTTTCCTGTTCTCAAAAGGTTCAGATTTTGCTTAAACTCTGGAGCAATGGTTTCAGTTTAGATGATGGAGAATTGAGACCTTACAATGACCCAATTAATGCTCAGTTTCTGGAATCTATTAAGAAAGGGTAAGATCCTAAAAGGGCTATATCGCTGTTCGTAAGTCATTGCTTCTCAGCTTTGGGGATAAGGGCGTAGTAAATATTGGTCCCTTGGCAGGGGGGTAGTGATGCTCCCAAGCAGTACTCAGGGAAACCCCAATTGCCTTCCTGGCCAACCTAGTTGGCAGTTCAGTATGAGGGCCTTGCAGTTCCTGGAATCACCTGGGTCACCCTGGCAGGGCCAAACCTACTGTGCTCTGGGTTCTTCAGGACCACACCCCAAAGCTCAGGAGACTATGTGGTATGAAGGATCGAACTGGGGTTGGCTGCATGCAGGGCATGCCCCATAACCTCTATACTGGTCCTCTGGCCTGTGTTAGGCCCTTTGAAACCTGACAAAGTAATATTCCCAATTCCCAGAAGCAGTATCTTAATGTAACAAATCATTGAGTTGATTAGCATGTAGCTGCCCGTGCACTAAGCCACTGTCCTGCTTACTGTTGACAGGGTGACTCCTATTGCATGTATGCCTGAGATTCAGCAACTTATAGTAGAAATCTTTTAAAGTGGCATTACTGCTGGCAGAAGATTTCAAAAGGTTAGTTGGAAGCTATAATTTGTGCAAGTCAACCTGATACGCAGAGCTCTAATCTAAAGAACATCCTAATTCCCCAACTCTTTTTATTAAAGCATAAGGAATCAAGTGATTTTTTTGCTATGATAATAAAAGCTTTTCTGTACATACTTTCACTAGTTGACAATGCTGTCTTTCCTAAGTAGAAGTAAAATTAAAGATTAAGTTAGTGATGAACTGGGAGCTTTAAGTAGCAGTGAAGAGGTAAGTGTAATTAGACTGCATCCAAGAATTGAAGATAGGATTGTTCCAAACTTTTGAAATATGTTTAAGGCCAATGACTAAAGTGAAGATGAAATGCATTAGAGTTGAGGTAATCTAGGACTTCTGAAAGATACTTTAGGAGGCTAATTTGTATAAATTTTTGTAAATTTTGAAATTGAATTGTACAGAAGTAATACCAGGGTACCAACTAAAAAGCAAGAAATATAAGCAGTACACTGAAGTCGTCGCGGGAGGTAGGACGGATCAGGGATGTGGCATAGAAGATGTTGCTTGCATGTATGAGATTCTGGGTTCAAGTCCTGGCACTGCCAAAAGAAAAGCGTGAGAAATGGGAAGCTATGCTAGGAGGCGGTATGTGGTGATGGTAAAAACAGGATATGCTGATTAAATTCTAAGCTGTGGACTTGGAAATTGGCAGTGTCACTCAGAAGAACTGGGAATGACTTGAGAGTTTCTCATCTGAATATACTACCCTATAAATTCAAATGGTGGACTCATCATATATTCATCAAAATGCAGACCAAAATTTATTATTAAATAAAAATCATTGGGGCTGGAGAGATAGCACAGTGGGTAGGGCATTTGCCTTGCACGCAGTTGACCGGGGTTCGAGTCCCAGCATCCCATATGGTCCCCTGAGCAGCGCCAGGAGTAACTCCTGAGTGCAGAGCCAGGAGTAACCCCTGTGCATTGCCGGGTGTGACCCAAAATGCAAAAAAATAAATAAAAATCATTTTGTAAGCCAATGTTCAATTATAGCTTTTTAATTGAGTCACAGCATATCAAGTACAAGTTATGATCAAAACCCGATTTCTTATATTTTTGAGCCACACGGGCAATACTAAGGGACTATTCCTGGCTCTGTGTTCAGGGGTCACTCCTGGCAGTGCTTAGGGAGCCATATGTGGTGCAGGGGATTGAGCCTGGTCAGCCACATGCAAGATTTCACTGCAATCTATCCAGCTGCCCAAAACCAGTCTTAGAAGAGACTTAAAAATATATTAATTGCTGTCAGGTAGTGGATGTCAACCAACTACTGTAGCACTGTTGCACTGTCCTCCCGTTGTTCATCGATTTGCTCAAGCGGGCCCAGTAACATCTCCATTGTGAGACTTGTTATTGTGTTGGGCATATTGAATATTTCACCTGTAGCTTGCCAGGCTTTGCCGTGTTGGCAAGATACTCTCAGTAGCTTGCCAGACTCTCTGAGAGAGGCAGAGGAATCGGTCCCGGCTCAGCCAGGCCGGCTGCGTGCGCCTATCACTGTTGACACAAGGATGTCAACTACATAATCTTTATTAAAATCATCACCATTATCCTTAAAAAAAATTATAATGGGACCTAGGTATGTGGCTGAATAAGACACCTGTCATATCTGTGAGGCTGTGAGTTCAATACCTGGCATCTCCCACATTACATGGTGTGATACAGCATTGCTGATGTTCTTTGGTTCACGGCAAATGAATGTACAAACCCTGACCTTGGCACGGCATCCACTGTGAAACCCCTGACACCACAGCAGATACAACCTCAGCAGCAGCAAAAAAGAACTCAGTTAATACCAGTCTTTGGTTTTATTTTCAGAAAAATTGATATAAAATAGATCAGGGATATCAAAGAAATAAAGGAAGATAAGTTGTCTTAAAATTAGACATAATTACAATGGTTATGACCACACCTCAGTCAAAAATACCCCTCTTGGGTTTCAAAATGTCCTCCAGACAATTAAGAAATAAGTAGCACTGTCTTCCCATTGTTCATCGATTTGCTCAAATGGGCCCAGTAATGTCTCCATTATGAGACTTGTTGTTACTGTGTTTGGGATATCGAATATGTCATGGGGAGCTTGCCAGGCTTTGCCATGCCAGCGAGATACTTTCAGTAGCTTGCTGGGCTCTCAAAGAGGGGCTGAGGTATTGAACCCGGGTCAGCTGTGTGCAAGGCAGACGCCTGTGCCTGTAGTCAGCTACTCGGGAGCCTGAGGCCGGAGGATCACATGAGTCCAGGAGTTCTGGGCTTTAGTGCACTATGCCGATCGGGTGTCCACACTACGTTGAGCATCAATACGGTGACCCTCCGGGAGTGGAGAACCACCAGATTACCTAAAAAATAAGTATCTCCATTAATAATTATGCCATCATAGAAATTTTATAGTCTGAATTTATGTTAAAATTCCTCTTATAATTTAGCATTGTAAATGTTAGAAGCACACAAAGATCAGTGTGACCACAAAAAAGTTCCTAATTTGAGAATCACAATTATAACATGATTCATATATGTGTGTGTGATATATATATATATATATATATATATATTTATCAATAGCACAGTTGTAGGGCGTTTGCCTTGCACAGCCAACCCAACCAACCCGACCAACCCGGGTTCAATTCCTCCGCCCCTCTCAGAGATCCCAGCAAGCTACTGAGAGTAGCTTGCTGGCATGGCAAAGCCTGGCAAGCTCCCCATAACGTATTCAATATCCCAAACACAGTAACAACAAGTCTCGTAATGGAGACATTACTGGGCCCATTTGAGCAAATCGATGAACAACGGGAGGACAGTGACTTTGTTTAGGATATAATGCAAAGTTTGGGGGAGACAGAAATAAGTCTGATCCTGTTGGTGCGATTTTAAGAAGGAAATATCTACAGGAATCCTTATAACTCAAGCAAAACCTGTTCTTTTAATTGATGGTGATTCTATCTGTGCACTTTGTGAGCTTTCTTGTTTGTTTGTTTGTTTGTTTGTTTGGGTGTTTTTTGTTTTGGGGGGATTTTTATTTGTTTTGGGGTCACACCGGGCAGTGCTCATGATTTACTCCTGCTGTATAACTCAGGGATCACTCCTTTCAGTGCTCAGGGAACCACTTATGGTGCTGGGGTTTGAACCCAGGTCAGCCACATGCAAGTCAAATGCTCATTGTACTCATTCCAGCCCCTGTACTTTGTTTTTTTAAAAAAATTAACTTAATTTTTTCCCCTCTTTTTAAAAGAGAGATTCCCCTGGAACTTCAGAGACTGGTTCATGGCGGTCAAGTAAATTTGGATATGGAAGATCATCAAGATCAAGAATACGTAAAACCTAGATTGAGATTCAAGGCTTTTAGTGGAGAAGGACAAAAACTTGGAAGGTAACATCTGAAAATGAGAAAAAGTACATGTCTTTGTTAAACAAGAATTTTAAAAAAATTAATCACTAAAGCAAAAATATGAATTATGAATAAATACTGTGCTCATCAGATAGATAACTAGAAGCTAATACTTAATAATTACAACATTACTGATCCTCTAAGTGTTTGTGCACATCATCTCAACATCTCACTGTCACTGTCCTCCCATTGTTCATCGATTTGCTCGAGCAGGCCCAGTAACGTCTCCATTGTGAGACTTGTTGTTACTGTGTTTGGCATATCAAATACATCATGATTAGCTTGCCAGGCTTTGCCATGCAGGCACAATACTCTCGGTAGCTTGCCGGGCTCTCCAAGAGGAGCGGAGGAATCGAACTCAGGTCGGCAGGGTCGGCCGCGTGCAAGGCAAACACCTTACCCACTGTCCTATCTCTCCAGCCCCTCAACATCTCACTTTTCACAATAACTCTTCCGTCTACGTCCTGTTTTTATTCTATTTTGTAGCTACCGCAGTTTATCCAGCATCTTGTGTAAATGTTAAGCTCAGTGATGTTTAACATGTGACATTCAAACCAGTCACTCTGTCTCTACAGAGTTTTTATCCTTGTTCCAAATTGCATATTTCTTAATACATATATTCAAATAGGAAAGTTGTGAAGTGTTTCTGAATTAGGTAAACAGCAGATATGTTGGATCACAAGTTTAAGCATACCTGTCCAACCATTAAATAATCATTAATCTTTAGTCACCAAAGGCTTTCATCTAGTTATGGAAGTCCAGTGTATAAAACACATATAAAACCTGGGTCTTCCGATTATAGGCTAAAGGAAACACACCAAAGAATCTTTGGAATATTGCCAAAAACAGTTGAAAAATCAATATTCATAGCATCATATGTGAGTAGACTTGCCTTATAATAACCTTGGCCGAAAAGTATTTTCATAAGTCTCGTAAACTATTGACAAAGGTCAGCCTCTGTTTATCCACCCGTATACAGTAAGTGAGCTGTGAAAGGCAGCTTTAGCAAGTCTCCAGTTTTATGCTTCCTTTGTTCCTTTTCAGTTGCCTTGTGCCACTGGATTTCCAGACCCCTCTCACTTTTCAGTGTAGGAAATCATCACTTGTGGTTCTTTAAACTTGTCTTTCCTTTTTCTCTTTAGTTTCTTTAATTATAGTTTGTGCAATATGCTTGTAATCATGTTAAAGTTTATGGTATTGCTGTACAGTTCCTGCAGCCCACCACCACTAACATGCTGCTGACCCTCCGCCTCTGTTTCTCACCTCCCTTTCATTTCCCTTTCTTTTACTCCTGGTTTCTGAGACATGTAGGGAAGACCTGGGAGTTTTAGGATTCAAGTCCTGTGCCCAGTCTAAACATAAGTACTTGGAAATTTCTCCCTCATCTTTTATTGCTCTAAGATAGCTAAAAGCAGCTCCATATTTCTATCCTCTCTTTGTTTTTAAAATTATGACTGCCATGTTTCTTTTTTTATAATATTATTATTATCTTTTTAAAGATAAAACATAACTAAAATGCCCAGTTCACTCTTTGTTTTCATACATATTCTTTTATAAACAACATATTGGTAAATTATGTGGATTAATGTTCGAATGAACATCTCTAGTAGTAAAAAATGCTATTCCAGAATTAGAATTGAAGAAGGTAATGTAAGGGGAAGATGCTGAAAAGAGCAATTATTATTGTCAGTGATTTCAATTCTTTACAGCATCTACTAGCCTCTTTCCTCATAAAAGAGACAGAGAAAATGTCTTTCTCCCCCAGAAAGAAATTATGGAAGAGAATGATAAAGAGCGTTGGTAATAATGATATTGTTAACTATATTGGTTGGAATTTTGGGTTGTATAAAACAGAATACATATGCTCGTTTTATGTATTTGAAATATCTTATAGAATTTCTGGGGAAAAAAATAGTAAACCAAGCTTTCCTTAAGGGGAAACAAACACAACATATAAATTTCTAAATATAACCTCTCCCGAGCCTGATGGCCACTTAATACCTTTATTGCAAACCACAACACCCAAAAGGAGAGAGAGAATAAAAGGAAATATGCCTGCCACAGAGGTGGGGGGGGGGGGGGGCTGGATACTAGGAACATTGGTGGAGAATGAGCACTGGTGGAGGGATGGGTACTCAATTATTGTATTGTATGACTGAAACATAAGCATGAAAGTTTGTAGGTCTCTAACTGTACCTCAGGGTGATTCACTTAAAAAATAAAAAAAATTATTAAAAAAATAAAATCAAATATAGTTTCTCCTGTAACCCCACTTGTAACTAAGTGCTCATGAAGCACTGGACCAGATGGTAGATTATTCATCTCATCACACTGCTGAGTCAGATATTTCCATTTCCTTTATAATCAGAATACCTGATGGCTTCAATTCTGGGGTGATTAACGTCCTGCAAGTATGCATTTGTTTGCTTGTTGGAAATTAAAAATCATGTGAATCATAGTAAGGGAGTCTAAGAAAGGTAGTCTTTATCTTTTATGCAGAAAATAACTTAAATGGCACATTTTCCAAGAGTTCTAGACAACTCTTTACTGAATAGGGAAATAATTTAAAAGAAATAAAACAAGACAAAAATAGAAATATTTCTATTTTATTTCATAGCTGATTATCTAGGTACAAACAGCAATACCCAGATGATAACTAACATACTTTATATTGTGATTTAATTATAACGTGAACCTAAGTGCATGGAAAGCATTACCCATGACCTGGTATAAAAGGAACAAGCAAATAATAGATGGCCAGTGATTGAAAGAATCATTGTCTTTTTTAATCTGAATATGCTGAAATCCATTCTAAAATATGTATCAGTAAATAGCTAAGAAGTGGAAAGTGTTAGCAGTTAATCTTACCACTTAACATATATTTAAGAGAAAAACATTTTGGGTGGAAGTAAGAAACATAGTGAATTAGGATTATACTAAACTAAATCTCAAATGTTCCATGACTTTTATACTAGCAAATGTAATATATTTATTTTTTTTCAAAAGAAAGTAAATTACATAAATCCATCTAAATCATGGTATTTGAGGGAATAAACATCAAGACTCAAAAAAATCTCTTGAGATGACTGAGAGAAAATAAGATTTAATGAAATCAAAGCATTTAATTAGATTTGTTTAACTACTTAACCATTCTATTTTTAATGTTCACTTTCATCTTAATATAGATTATCCTGCTAGGATTACAAGGAACTAAGAAAGCAACTCTAAAGGCCATGAATCAGGCCTGTGCCATAGGATGTCCTTATTTAGTATCAAGTTATTTGATAAGAAGGGCATTTTATTTTATGGTACCATAAAATTCTTAGAACTTATATATAATTACCATATATATAACATATAATATTATACTCATCACTAAATTAGGAATTACTTTTCTTTTCTAAAGAAGTAACTACTTACCTCAGAGGTTTTTAAATAATACTAAACCCAGAATATTAGTTTAGTGTTGATATGTATAGAAGTAGTTAGTACCTATTGAAACATTGTATTTAGGATTTACAGGTATGGCATTCCTAATAGTATTATTTTCCATATAACCATATTATTTTATAAATAGAACTGAAATTCAAAGACCTTCCTTTATGTACTCAAGTATATACAGATGACATAGATTGGGTTTGAGAGCAAGTCTTCTGTTAAACATTCCTTGACATAAACTCATTTGCTCAGATTTTTGTCTAAAGAATATTACTCTAAACACTCATAAAATTTCCAAAGAATGGAAGAGGAAAGAATTTAAATTAAGCTTTTGGAAAAGAGTTTGTATAAATTATATCAGAATTAGTATCAAAGCTACTTTAATATATTGAAAGAGGTTGGATGAATTATATGAAACACAAAAGAAACCATGTTGCTATTCAGAAGTCAGAATCAGTGATAGATCTAAGTAGTAATTCTACTCTGTTCACTTTGTGTTAGGTTTTATGTATTCAGAGTTGTGTTTGAACTCTTTCTTAGCCTTACACCTGAAATAATAAGTACACCTTCCTCCCCTGAAGAAGAGGACAAGTCAATACTTAATGCAGTTGTTCTTATTGATGATTCAGTGCCAACAACAAAAATTCAAATCAGGTTAGCTGATGGGAGTCGTTTGATACAAAGATTCAACATTACACACAGGTAAGCTTCCAGTTCGCTGATATACACATGGTTTCTGGTCTGTTTAAAATTGTATGTGACTAAATAATGAAGAATATGAAAGGCACGTTTTATTTTTATAAAGCTCAGGTGAATCCACTCACTGAAGTAATAAGTAATTGTACTTTTAAGTAAGATTGAATCATTTGTTATCTAATTTTAGATAAAAATTTATCTGAATAAAACTTTTATATCAAATTATTTTTCATCTTCTTCAGGATCCTGGATGTTCGAGAGTTTATTGTACAGTCCCGTCCTGAATTTGCCACTCTTGACTTTATTCTTGGGACTTCCTTTCCAAACAAAGAGCTCACAGATGAAAATCTGACACTACAAGAAGCAGATATTCTTAACACTGTGATTCTCCAGCAACTTAAATGATACTGTTCCTATCATGCAATAGCATACAGGAAGGATATTGTGCCATATTAATAACGAAAATTTATAACACAAAAAAATTATTTTTATTATACAGATTTTTTTTCTTGTTCTTTTAGCCAGTCTTAGTATTGATGAGTTTGGATTAATATATATATATATATATATATATATATATGTTTTCAATTGAAAGACCAGTTTTGGTTAATAACTTTTAACTATTAAAGCAAAACCACTGTTTTTCATACTGGTATTAATTTAGCAGTATCTGTTTGCAGGCAAAATTACCAAGACCCCATTTGATAAATATGCTTGATAAAATTCTAATAAAGTTTCTTGAGGCTGTGTTGGTCAGCAGCCATTGAGAAATATTCTTATGATGAGCTGGGGAGATAATTCAAAGTGCTAGTTCTCATGCTTTGTATGAAGAGGGCTGGGTTGATTCCTGGTTCCACATGACCTTTCTAGTACCCCAGAGAGCAAATCCTAGCAATGAACCCCATTGGGTGTGGTTCTGAGCCCCCCCCCCCAAAAAAAAAAAACAAAAACTTTTGCTGGAGCTATTTGAATCACCAGGACTAGAGTGATAGCACAGCAATTAGGGCATTTGCCTTGCACTTGCCTTGGAGGGTTCAATTCCTCCATCCCTCTTAGAGGGCCCAGCAAGCTACCAAGAGTATCCCGCCCACACGGCAGATCTTGGCAAGCTCCCTGTGTCATATTCAGTATGCCAAAAACAGTAACAAGTCTCACAATAGAGACGTTACTGGTGCCTGCTCAAGCAAATCGATGAACAATGGGAGGACAGTGCTACAGTGCTACATTTATACCAGAAAGTATATCATGATTTTGAAATACTTTGGTTATATAAAATTTACTTTCCTATTAATATATATATATATATTTTCAATGACTGATTTAGCTTTAATATTAGTTTTTTTAAAAAAAAACAATTTGCCCTTGTATTTTAGAGAACTGTAACCAGCATGAACTAGAAGCAGACATATAAAAGATAGCAGTTCCTAGTAGGAATTGGAAAATGGTACCTTAATATAGAAAAATTACAATTCCTCCCAGAACCTGCCTTGATCACATTCATTTATTCATCCAACACATTTTCCTAGGTGACTTACTATGTATACAAAACAGTGTTCTGAGTATTCAACCTCAATACATTCTACTCCAGGACAAAACTAGTATAGAAATACAGGGTTATAGGTTTTGTCAGACTTGTCCTAAAGAATTAGCAGCATAAGTGTCTGCATTCCTGCTGGAGCCATGTGTTTCCTGACAGACAAAAAAGCCTGTTCTTTTCCCCACGTAGATTTCATTTTAACTACTATGCCTGGTTAGTTGTGTTGCTGCTTTAATGCATCACTACAGATTGAATGGTTTAAAATAATAGCACAGATTTGATACTATAATTTTGTAGGTTAAACATTCAAATTGGGTCTTAACAGGACTCAAGAAAAAAACTCCGGTTGTTTTTAGGAGATTTAGGGAAAAATCATTTTCTTGCTTCTCCAGTATCTTTTCTTGACCTCACCCCTCACCCTTCCCCAACCCACTACCCCTACCTGTTTCCGTCTTCAGAGCCATCCATATTGCTTTTGCTAACCCTTCTATGTCATTACATCTCTGACAGCAGTCAAGAAAACTCTGCTTTTAAAGACTGTATAATTAGATTGAGTCCTCCACATAATTCAAGATTATCTTTAAGGTTCATAGAGATGATAACCACATCTTTAAAGCCCCCTTTGTCCTGTAAAGTAACATATCACAGCTTCCTTCTGGGAACTCCAGGGGAGAATTTGTTCTTTGGTGGAAGATACTCCTGTCCTTTCTCTTGGGTTGGTCACTGTGACCTCTGTCTCTGTCCTTATGGTTTCACGGACAACTTGAATTCTCCTGCTTTTCTCATACAAAGATTCTTGTGAGTTCATTTGGCCTACCTGGAATATCCATCAAGGATAATCTCACACTTTATCTCATCTTCAAAAATCCTCTTTACCATCTAAGATAGCGAATTCATAAATTTGGGGTTTAGAACTTGAACATTTTAGGAGGCCGTTCTATCTTTCACACACACCCCTAAAGATATATAACAGTCCCAAATAAAGTCAGATACTCCAAAGGTATTTTGAAGTTTCAGCCCATTTTATCATTAATTTAAGGTCCACAGATAGACCAGCTCAGAAATTTCAAATCTCAAACTCAAACAAGCTAACCATAAGAGAAGACCTGGATATGATTCCTAGGATACAGTCCTCCATTTGTGTTTCTATAAACCTAGAAAGTTATTTGCTCACAAATGTAATTATAGGATAGGAATAGTATAGTTAAAGGATAGAATCGTTAAAGTTACTCCTGCCTTATAAAGAATATTGAGCCATCGTTTTTTTCTTTAGCCAGATAAAGTACATCTGCTACCAAAGCTAACTCATGGCTCTGGGTTCCATCCTTTAAAATTGTGACTTCTCTCTGAGTTCTTTTCTTTTGAAAGGAAGCAGATATTTGAAGTTGAGTAGTTTTGACAGCTCTTTCTTGCCTATAGAACTACAGGAAATCCAACTACCTTCTTTAATTTCATTTCCTTTCCCTTTCAGTTTAAGATGGCACTGTCTGCTCAAGAAATGTCTATATCTCAAAGTGACAGAGATCCACTCCATCCACTCTGTTGCCCAGAAACTTCATCGATCTTTCCCTGATAATTGTATCTCTGATCTGGCTATTTTCTAGGATGACTGAACTATCTTTAAGTCACATCCTAATCTACCCAAGGAACTTTTGTGTTACTGGTACTCGGACACTCCCACCCCCACCTTTTTTTTTTTCAATCTTTCTGAAGTAGTAGCAAAGTATTTTACTACTATACCATTATCTTTACTGACAGTTGATTCTCTTCAATTTAAAAATCTCTTGCCATTTGAGTGGGCTAAGAAATTCTAAGTTGTCAATACCTGTTCTTTTTATATTTTACAGTTTTTCTCTCTTTTATATCCTCAAACATTTTACAGTTATCGACAGAAAGCAGTTCATAGCTTCTACACTGCTTAGAAATCACCAACTACATGTATGGTTATCACTTGCAACTTCTTTTTACATAAATGCAGTACACAATTTCACTAAACTTTTTTTTTCACTATTAAGTAGAATCTATTTCTTCAGTTTCCAATAGTGTATTCCCCATTTCCTTCCAACCCCTCACTGGTAGTACCTTTAATGTTTTATTCCTACTAAACATCTGTTCACGATATTTTAGATATTTTCTATATCTATTTTGTTATTCTCTGCCACATTCCATATCTCCATTAACGTTCATATAACTATTAGCAGGGTTCAAGGCAGTCTTGGGGCTCTTTTTGTTATGTGCCTCAATTCTTCCTACCTCTTCCACTGCCAACTTCAAAGTTACTTCTGTATTTTGAGGTCTTCCTGCTGATTCACTGCCAGTTGATTAGGATGTGATAATAGGGGATATGTAGTTCACCTTTGCTCTAGGGCCTCAGGTTATTTCAAGGTGAATTTATCTGTTAGGGATTTTTACCTAAGGATAAGTTCTGCCATAACTACCATGGCTTAAAAGTACTTATTCTGCCACCTTGGAACAACCACAATGTGGAAAAAGATTATTCCTAAATCCCCCCCTTAGAAGGAAGCATTGTTTCTTTCTATTATTTGAAACAGGCTGAAGAATATATAACTAAGTATCAGTTCATAAAAGAATTACCAGGGGGTAAATTATATGTTCACAAAACCAAAATCTGTCTAGGAAATAATTTATGTTGCAACTAAAGAACATTATAAAGGGCACTGCCCTGTTTTGGATTAACAGATGGAGGAAATTAACCAAATTTAGTAAAATTATTCTAAATTTGTATTAATTTGACAGAGTGCCTGTCAATGCACACAAAAAACTATGGTCATTTTTGTATATGTCTTCCAAAATACAGAGGTTTATATTAAAAGAGACAAACATCCAGAAGACAGAAACAATACTGTATACTTCATTTGAAAGTGGTACATTTTCAATGTTTTATATTATTTGGAGTCATTTTCCTGAGTGTTTATTATTGTAGACTGTAACTTTTACACTTTGTAAACATCTTTATAATGACATGCCACAGAGACAGTTGCACAACCATGTATGAGGTTAGGTGTTTTGCATGATGTATATAATCAAAAAGTTTTAAAGTGTGTTTACCAATAAAGAAATGTTTTTTACTGAAACTCTAAACATTCTTTTCAGAATTATTTGTTGTTTCTTTGGCTTGAAAGGTGTTTTAAACGTGAGTGACATTTCTCATATGTCTTTATTCCCAGTAACTTATTGATGGACAGAAAAGGAACCAAGATACACTGTTCTCTCTCAACTTCCCATTGCTGCTTATGTTTTTACTACACCAACACACAGATGCAATTTTTTTTAACTTTTATGCCTCATGTGGCATAAGATCATAACCATAACCCAAACCATAATAATATTTAACTACATTTTGGAAAAATGAGTTTACAAAAGAGACAGAGTAGGTGGTGGGAGAAACCCATGGGTCATTGTGTAGGGATGCTGACCCTGGTGGACAGAAGCTGGAATGCTGTAAGCCTAAATTTCTATTATTTCTGTTATTATAAGGCGTGGATTTTGTTTTTATAACAATAAAATACTAAATTTCTGTTATTAACATAACAGCAATGTAAGTCACAGTGCCTAAATGAAAATTGGGTTGAAACATTTTCTCTTTTCAAAAGAAGAAAGCCTTTGGGAGAAATCTCTTTCACCCAATAGAAAGATGTTTTTCTATTTTTCCTTTTTTTTTTCCTTTTTCCTTTTTCTTTTTTGTAATTTTGTCCTGTGCTAAGTTGCTAGATGTGATCAATTTATATATAATTATAGATACTTCACTCAGAAGGCAATCTGTTCATCTCCATTAAATAAGGCATATGCAGATTCCTTTAACCTAGTGTTACTCAACTGAGGATCATATAAGCCTCTGGCATCCCCCATCAGGGGAACCCTACTATATTCCAAGGGGCCACAGGTAAAAATCCATGTAAATGGTGGGATCGAAGTGATAGTACGATGGACAGGGCGTTTACCTTGCACGCGGCCAACCTGGGTTCGATCCCCGGCATTCCAGTCTCCCAAGCACCGCCAGGAGTAATTCCTGAGTGCAGATCCAGGAGTAACCCCTGAGCATCACTCACTTGGTGTGACCCAAAAAGCAAAAAAAAGAATCTATATAAATGGGAGGGAAGAGGTATCCTGACTAGGGCAGGCCACAGGAAGGAAGCAAGATTGGAAGGAGGTCACAGAAAAATGGATTAAGAAACAATCTTTATCCCTTGTTGCTGGCATTTAGATTTCCCATTTAGTGACTTCTCTGGGCTCAGGAATCCCGTTACTCATATTTCTTTCTCATGTGTCAATCTTCACTGACCAGTACTGTT